AATTTTTAAAATATTATGTGGAAACTGAAATTTTTAAATTACTATTATTACTCTTTCTCGTTTCCAGGCTTTTACTGATATAAGGATTTTGTTATTATAGTGTTATATTATATAAGTAACACATTTACTAAAATATTTAGCTCATCCTTGGTGTACAAGTTTCTTCCGTAAGAGTAGTAAATCATAGCAACAGCAAACGGTAGATCAAAGAACGTCTCAATTCAACTACGTCCGTAAAGTTTGCGTAGGCTAAACAGTTGTTTTTATTGGATTTAAGATAAATTATTTTGTTTTTAACAACCTTACACTACAGGAAAAAATATTTTTTAAGTAGAATCAATGTACATACAATTTTCGTATATATCCGACGTATTATTGATATTTGATCGAATTTTCATGATTTTCACAAGCAAAAGTATAATGTGTATGCATACATGTGCCAGCCCTGCATTCAAGGCAATGTCCTTTAGCTAAGTGAAGTACAGAACAACATTGTGATGATTTAACTGGCTCACAACGAGCAAAAATAGTCCTTTCCGTCTCGAGTAAACTAGAAATATTAACTCTTGAGTCAAATAAATTACCATATCTTTAAATACGCCTTATCCGCCCTAAGAAAATTCTTATGTGCGAACCTAAAATAAGCTATAGCTGAATTGATTTAGTAACAAATTAAAAGAACATCTTGAGTACCAATGATCTAGGCTAAATACAATTAAATATTTTGATATGTTATGGCAAAGTTTAGATAGCTAAAATGAGTATTTAAAGTATTTGAAATTGCGAAATAATTACATTACCTCTAGCAATCTCACAACATGCCATATAAGTTATGATGAAATTTTTTAATGTTGTTTTATTATGTGGCATAAACGTAAACGTTATAATAATAGTTAGTAAAACCACGCGTAGTTATTTCGAATATCTACAAATTAAGTTAAGCGTGTTTCGTGCTATTAAAATTAAGCTTACCGACCGAAACAATTCCAAACGCGTGGGTAATAGAGGATTTCTTTTTCACCTACCATGTGAAATATATTCATTATTTTTTACCTCAATGGCAATTTTAGCTCAGAATAATGAATTAATGAGTCATTTTATGAAGATACACATGTTACGTCTATTCAAATTAGGTATAAATAAGAATTATGATAACTTTAACGGCCAGACAATTGTTTACGAGTGTGGTGCAAAATTTTTAATTCTTTACAAAAAAGTGTTTATAACCCTCATCTCCATTCGTTTTCTCTAAAAATTGACGCAATCATTGTAAAATTAAATATCATGTACAATGTACATATATATATATTATGTACATGGAAATTAATGTCATAATATAAACGTATGTATTAATTTTCTAAACAATAGAATTGTCAATGAATGTATTTAAATATTTTAATTGACATCATTTACATATATTACCAATTTTAAATACAAATTACTTGAAATGCTTCTGGTAGCTATTAAAGCAATTGTAGAGTTACGATACTATAAAATGTCGCTAACATGCGGCTTACAAAGTCCTTAATACTAAAGAGACCTAAATATCATTTAATTTAATAGCACCTTTGCAATATTATATAAGAGTGATTATAAATTCATTCTACACGATATTGTATAAATAATGTTCCACATACATGCTATACACATATTATTATAGAAATATAAGAATGAAACAGAAATTGCAATAATTTTATGATTTCACAGATAGGTTGTGTTAAACAAATAATAATATTTGAGTATATATAGTAATGTAACTCTAATATATATAGTATTCAGCCCTTTTTTTAACGTCCCACTGCTGGGCACAGGCCTTCAGTACGAGGGAAATCAGGCCATAGTCGTATACCATAGTCATAGCCACGCTGGCCAAGTGCAGGTTGACGGACTTCACATGTCTTTTGAAAACTTGCTAGGTTCTCTCAGACATGCAGGTTTCCTCACGATGTTTTCCTTCACCATTAAGACAAGTGGTAATCATGTTGGAAATGATTCGCACATGAAAATGTCAGAGGTACGAGACCCGGGATTTGAATCCGCTTCACTCGGTTTCCCAAGCGAGCGCGTTACCACTGGGCTACCACTGCCTTTTACCACCACAATTAACCTTATATAAATGATAGTGTGTAAATTTGTCATTTGAATATAATCGATAACTAACAATTACTGATTAAATTAATTGAACTAACCGCACCTAACTATCGCCACACCCACACCGAATACGATAATTTGGGAAGATATAGATTCTAAATTAGTCTCATCGAATCAATTATTTACACCACACATACCTATACGTACTCGTACATTTCTTTTAATCATCGTACTGAATTTAAATGGATTAATAAAACTGTACGCATCATATTAAGGCTAATATGGTCAACTACTAATAATAAGTCATATTCTCAGGGCATTCACATAATTTGTTGTCTTTGACTATCTAGACACCATTCTCCAGAACCTGACCCGAGCTCGCTCTATAAATAACGCTCTTAGCAGGCCGCGATATAATTCACAATCTGGCCCTTAATATTCCATCCCGACGGGGCATTTATCGAACTATGTAGAACGGGTTTAGTATAAAAGGAAGGTAGGTTTATACAAAGTTAAATAAAATAATAAATAAGCAAGAACATTTGGTGAGATTTATTTCGGAGAAAAAAGCGAGGTAAGAGCCAGGTCTTGTCTCTGTATGTTTATAGTCGTCCGGTGACGGCGTACGATATACGTCCCTAATTAATGCCGCCGCTCCTCCCCGAGATATATTGTGTTCGGCGTCTTTCTTTTAACTTATTTATTTTTAATTCCTTAGATTACAAATAAATAATTGTCGTGTTTTATAATCATTATTTTAAGGCCTAAGTTAATTATCTACGAAAGATAGTTTCGTAATTTTACTCTTCTTACAAAATCCAGAAGAATTATTTATATCATAAAATAGCAATAAGCTTTTGCTGGTATCGTATTACTATTGAAATGGGGAACTTACATTAAAAAGAACAGGTATACTATATGTATGATATGGCACTATGGCAGACTTACTCCCCGCGACTACAATGCAAAGAGAATAATGGGACCCAGCTGACGGGAGGTGCCTTTGGCCGTTGTCATGGCGACCGAGCGAAGGGTGGCCAACCTGCCTGCGCTAACATATTACTAACACCAACAAAAAGCTGATCTACTCACACTCATTGCAAGCCAATTTAAACTCTATGATCAAAACAATAGGACGCTATTTCAAGGAACAACAACAATCGTTACGATCTTTAACTTTCATGGGATAATCGGGACGTGTGTATCGTATTTTGGGTTCCATCTTTGCTTTTTAAAATTAGATTGACTAGTGCTATCTCTTTCCAGCACATTGCATTTGGCACATGTCCGAAGACTGCACTAGTATAATTATTCATTGTCTGTTTAAAGTATTTCAATCATTATTTTAAGTTTTTGTTGAAACAAGGATGAGTCGTAAATGTTATTGCGGTAGTAAAAATGTAGTTATGGTAATTTATAGTTTATATAAAATGCGGTATTTTGACTAAACATTTTTGGCGACAGATTTATTAATATTTAGATTTTAGAGTAAAACTCTTATAGTTTTTTTATAATTTTCGGATGTTGGTAGGTATATAATTGTAAAGTACTCTGATAAGCAAACACTAATTACAATAAATTAAGTACCCCGTTGCAAACAGTCTATTGTTCTTTATTTAAAACGTGTTATAAATTCCAATTAAATCGCTTCAAGCTTAAAACAACAAGAAAATTAATTTGAGTGCAACAACTAAAATACTTAAAGATTAACGTAAATTTTTGTAAAATTATGTCACACAAAATAGTACTGCACTATATATAACATTCTACAGTGGTCCAAACCAAAATGATGATAAATGTAAACTTTAGATTATGGTCTTTATTCTTTCCACGATAAGTTCTTTAGCCTTCGCTTAGTCGACATTCCAACGGTTGGCCTGCTATCAATTATATACGCAGGGAAGACTATTTATCTTATGTTATTTATTGGCTGACTCAAAACCAGTCTGGGTCCGGCCGAGCCCGCCATATGAGTAGACCCAAATATATGTTCACGTATATGTACAGAAATTTTTTCCATTGAAATATGAATCTTGTCGACCTTTACAAGTATTTCTAATTAAAAAGATAGGACTATATAGAAATAATTAAAATATACGATAGGTTATTAAAAATAATTTCTTACAATGTTCACTTGCCGTTATTACATACCTATATAAAAATTAATTCTAACAAATAGAACAGTTTCTAATCAATCTCTATTTCACTATTAATTTTAGTTAAACTATAAAGCGTACATGTTATAATTCAGTAGAATTGTAGCATGTACGCTGTATAGTTGAAGTACTGTATACATTTTTAAAAGTTTACTTTAAGCGTAGTAAAGGGTTGTAACTAGCTTTATTTCTTAGAAAAATTCTTTAACGATCGGTCACAAAGCGCCACCTTACAAAGATTTAGAAAGTTGCGCAACCCTTGCGTCCGATTTTTTTTGTAACGATTTCTTTTAGAAAGCTCTATTGTTAATACTTTGTCCATTTATTAGCTTTAACCCTTTCCGTTAACTTTCTATTTGGAGTTTTTTCAAGCCGTTATAAAAATTTTTAGGTTTGTTTATTGATGTATTTTAGAATGTCACACCATTTTTTCCTCGATTGTGTATTTATTAACTCTTGTATTTGATCTACTTTGAGGTTGGTCCCAGTAGCGGATGACTCTAAAATTAACTTTACAGCTGCAATAAAATATTAATGAGCTATTAAAATCTAAGACGCTATAAAAGTGAAATTTAATGGCTTGCTCGAAGCCTTTGCGATGCGAATCGGAACTCGAACTGCAAACGGGTGATATATGATTGCAATAAATCGATTTAATGTGAAAAAAATGTATACTCATTAACATAAAAATTTGGTCACTGTCCCGTTATCTGTCGCCAATATGACATTAATTTATGTTTTCTTTTTCTTCAGGACCCAATGGCTGCCCACGGCGACGGGGACGACAAACGTACACGAGGTTCCAAACGCTAGAACTAGAAAAGGAATTCCACTTCAATCACTACTTGACACGCCGACGCAGGATAGAAATCGCACACGCACTTTGTCTCACAGAGAGACAAATAAAGATTTGGTTTCAAAATCGACGTATGAAATTAAAGAAGGAATTACGCGCTGTCAAAGAAATCAATGAGCAAGCGCGTAGAGAAAGAGAGGAACAGGACAGAATGAAGCAGCAACAGCAAGAGAAGCAGGCTAAGTTGGAAAGCCAGCACCACGGCCACCACGTGACCCACCACCATGACCCCATGAAAATGCCCATTGACAAGGGCTCCAGCGACATTCTCAAAGTGAATAAAGTTCCAACGTAAACCTTAAGCCGCTTAGTAAATCCTGACTGATACTGTATCATATAGTGTGAATACATTAATGAAAGTGTTACGTCCATAAGGACCTGCGGGCAGCGTTATCGTATCCACTAGTTTTATGTTTTGCTGCTGATTTATTAGTGTTGCCTCGTTGTGGAGGTTCGTGACTTTTATTGTATTAATGTTCCTTTAGTGCGAAGGACTTGCCTCGTGTCGTTCGCTAGTGGACAGGCTGGTGAAGTGCTTTAAGCATTTATTTTGTTGCCATAACCACACCGTGTATTGCAATAATATTTTACTAAATTTTACAAGCGTTAGTATCGCTCTAAGGTTTACACGTCCGAATGAACTTCGGTATTGTTAGTTTAGATTTAAAATCTGTGAATCTCATAGTATTTATTGCTACCACTTACTTTAATTCATTATGTTATATTTTTTTATTAATAGATATTATATTATGTACATTTTGATGTATATTTTATTATTTGTCCGCTGTTAGTGGATCGGTTGTTTTGAGGGTCGAATTTTTATGATTGTAAAATTTGTTGTATTTTATCAATTGATTTCGAAAATTACTCTTTTATTTGTCCAATATTGTGATTAAATTCGATAGTTATGCTCATAAGTTGTTGATTGAGTTACATCATATAATTTTATACTGTATTTTATCATGAAATATATAATTCATACTCCGTAGCACTATTCCCATATGAAAGTAATATGTATGATTGTAACTAAATACGTATTTGAAGTACAATTGCGAGTAGGTTTTATCATGACGAGAGTTGTGTTTTGTATTTGATATTTTCAAGAAATTAAATAATAAATCGATATTTTAATGATAAAAAATTCTACATTGTCCAGATATTTAAATCAATTCGATATACAATAACAGCAAACACTGTCCATACTTTCCAAATCATCAGATGTTCAAAATTATATACGTAACATTGATACATATAATAATATGACTAAAGTAAATTTAACATGTAATTTTAAAATCGATTAGATTAAGTGTAAAATACATAGATAATATAGATGGGACTTATTAAGAAGTATTGCTAAGATATACAGCTACATGACTCTACCATCTTGTCGTATTCTGTTGCCTATTGACATTTTTACTACGCTTTTTTGAGGATCAAATGCTATAAGATATCTTTCAAACGTATAAATATTTACAGCGTATGTTTATATATTTAATACTCTTTACTTAATGAATGAATTTTTTTGAACTTTACATTTCAATATCCATATTAGTTTGCTTCCAAATTCACATTGTGCCAAAATAAATTAAAAATAGTTTAAATTTGTAATCGATAATAAAAATCACGTTTTCTTTACGCAAACAGAACAAAATCAAAAGTTTTCGTTATACGTAAAAATGAACAAATATAAAAATTAGGTCTCTAAAATTTAGTGTTGTTAGTCACCATTATACGTAAATTAATGTCAGGGTAGAATTAAAGAAAATTAAAATAAATATTTGTATTAAATGAGAATGTTCGCTTAATTTTTATATTCACCACTCAATAGATATCTGTCCACTTCGTATTATAATATACCATTCAGTAGTAATATATACCGATATCGTTAGCACAACCCTCTTAGATTTAAGGAATTCACAACTTCATTTTTCATATTTACCATAGAGCTTTCTTTTTATTTCCTAACATACATAATATATATTCTAATATGACGTCTACGTCATTTAAAATATAGTCAGTAAAAAAAACATTTATCATTTCTTTTTTATTGACATGAAAAAGTAAAAATAGGCACAAATACAAATAAATTTAAGTTATAGTACTCTGTCAGTTAAACCATTCAGAGTTATATGTAAACCATTAAAGCTTTTCTCTCTTCTATATTGATATATCGGTGAACGCCTGATATGTGCAATAAATATCACTTTTCTCATGAGCCATAGTTTTCGTAAGATTACTGTATAAGGTTGTCACTAGCGATTATAATAGATTCTTTATCCTATCTTACTTTAAACTATAAATCGAGGATGAAAGTCGAACAAAATGTACTTAAGTAAAAATTGGTATATGTAGGCTTTATAAGTATATATAATGCATAGTTTAACGTAGATACTGGTAATAAATTTAGGCGTAATAAACCCGGGAAAGTATTTGATTAGAAACGCTTAATTATTTAGTATCGTTCATGATGATTACATGGAGTCGAGATGCTAATTCCGTTTCAAGGCGGGCGTACACACTGATATTCGACGATCGAGAAAGAAAATTATAACGCAATGTGTGTATACGAACTATTAAATTGTTATTTCTACGTTTTGATACTATAGTTTATTCCGTTGTCATAATTTTGCTTTAGCAATTTGTTTCGTTACTTTTATGGGTCTGTGCAAATTAGTAACAGCTTATCTGCATGATACGATCTTATATACTGTTACGCGATTCCTAATTAAGTTTCATTTCTAACAATAGGTAAAACTCGGAGCGTATGAGTAATATTTGTGTTTATGTACGTCCGATGATTTATGTCAGGTTCTCTTTATTGTTTCTGCCTCGTACAGAACTGTAGATAATTCACGTGAAACAATGAGCAATTTGCTAAATAGATTATATACGACCTCCATCCGTAATGCTGTCTTGCCATACTGCTAGTTTCGTAGACTATAGGTATAACAATACCTGCCTGAATATAAATTTCAATATTTATAATACGTATCCTACTACGTAACCTATCACCCTAGATTATGCAATTTTTATTATTATCGAACGAAATTATCCAGTCTAAATAAATTTATTTTAAGTTTAAAAAACATCGTTAAGTTAATAAACCCATTACGGAAATATTTTTATAATTTAACATTATTAAATTTTATTATTTTTACAAGACTTCCGTTCTATTAGGTCTAAAGGGCCATTTAATTTTAATAACTGTAGCTATGTATGTATTTTCGAGAATAGTAATTAAATTGTCTTAAAAATTAAGTACTGTAAATAGTCGTGAAAGTGTTATGTGGCGCATTATTTTTTGTTCATATTTTGTTTTATGTTATGTATTTATGTAATGAACGTACGTTTCACATAGATTTCACTTGACTCCATATCATAACTTCAACTTTATACTTAAATAGTAATTAAAATGTAAGTAAATGTTTTACTTAATCGTTATTGTTCATTAAAGCAAATACAAAATTGGTTTTCTACAACTTTACGAGTGTTTACAATAAGTCAATTAACTAAGAAATATATGTATACCTAGATACGTACATATACATATATACAATACTTTAAAAAGCATTGTTAATTTTAATGGAATAAGCAAATTAAATGTAATTATTATATTTGTTTTAAACGGAAGCAGATAAACAAAATTCTGAATTTATTTATTTATAAAATATTTTATTTAATATTTTAATGTATGTAATAAAAAGGCTTTTTTATTTATTATTATATGTGTTGACTGAGTTATGACGTAAAATATTATAAATAATTTTATCGTATCTATCAAGTTTGAAATATTTATTTTATTTAGTTTTCGAAAATGTAAAATGAGGTTTTTAGTCAAGTGAAATCAAATGTACGATCAACGTGACTGTGTCGTGTTAAAGTAAGAAATAGATGGGTTATTATATATGGAGCCCGCATTCAATATTGTAATATTAATTTCAAAAATTGAACAGAATAAAAAGTTAATAAAACAATGGTTATTTCAATTCTTTATTCTTCCTTACCTGTTTGTTATATTATGAGACGAAATAAAAGCATTTACTCTGCTAACTTAATTAATTATGATCATTTAATTGATACATTTATTAATAAGGCTATATATTTTTTTATCATTAAATAATACAAAACCTAATTTTTGATTATTACATGTCTATATCACATTATGAGTTTTCTTAAAGCATACAAATTAAATATTTACTATTGCTGGGAAAATAAAATGCATTATAAAAAACCCGCAAAAGTTGAGATAAACATAAAATATATAATTCAGCTGTCATTTAAAGATTAATGAAATATGAAATGAATGAAATGAAAATAGTGGAAGGTAAGCGCAATGTATAATGAAAATAAAGCAATAATGTAGGTATTATAAAAATCCTACAGAGCGAACAATGAAAACAGTTTGGTAGAAGTGAATAATTCAAAGTGGGACGATAAAAGTAAAAAAGAATCTAATAACTACGTTTGTTAAATATACATAAAATAAAACCTACACATGTGCATGTACCTATCATGTATATTAATACTAAACGTCTTCATTAACAAATATTATTTATTATTCGTTATTCTTTTCAGTAGATATATCTACCTATGTATTATTTATGAACATATATCATACATACTAGCGAGAGTACATTTAACGGTTGTTACCTATAGAATTCTCAGAGATGAGATATTTTCCCGCAGTGAAAAGTAACCAGCAGTAACCAGATATCATCATACAAAATTTCATCAAAATCTATACAGTGGTTTTCGCATAATGCATTTCCAGACAGACAGACAAAAATTCTAAAATCTATAGATTCGGCTTCTGTATCGATAATAATGACTATTTCAATAAGATTTTCCAAAAAATATCTAATGTACGGATGCGACTCAGTTAGAATTTTATTATATGTACAGATTACTGAGTACAAGACAATATGATTACAAAAATATTGTTTGCATTAAAATATATATTATTTATTATATACCTAAAAATATGCAATATTTAAAAAAAATACAAAAATTATGGGAAAATACATAATACGTTTAAAGTTAATGACAGTTTAAACGTTTCTATAAAAAACGTTAGAATTTTTTGTAACTCTTGTCAAACGTATTTAAAACAATATTAATTCCCACCGTAACTAACATTCACACTGTCGGCAACTTATTCTTATAACAATTTCTGTCACATAACTCACTATAAAAAAGAAAATGCCATAGCCTAATAGTTTAATGCCCCTAAATACCAATAACGTTTGTCGGATCCCCGCCAAAAACAAACCATGAGTTATCCTTAATGTAATG